GACTTTAGTGAAGGAAACATTTCTCTTAACCATGGAGGTCCAGATAACCCGTCTCCTGGAACTGTAGAGAATTGGGTTGAACTGACAATGTGTGCCATGGGAGTTGGCACACTGGGGAATTGGGGTTTTATACTTGGGTTCTCACCCTAACAGTGTTTTCTATCCATGGGAAATTCTCTGTCAACTGCAGGGTCTTTTAGTTTGCTTCTAGTTCCAAGTCTTAATTCTAATTGTTCTGTTTATCCTGTGTTTGCAGGGTAGTTTGTGCCAGAATGATAGAATTCACTCCCGAATACTGCTAACTAGCTTGAAACCTTGGGCAAGTTTCTTCATGTCCTCTTGCCTTAACTGCTTCATTGGAAAAATGGTATAGCACGGTATCTATTCCAGAGGGAGGATTAAATGAATGAACCAATGGGCTGGCATGTAGCAAGAGCTATATAAAGATGTCACAGTTGAGTTATTACGAATATCATCATCATAATTACAAGGTGCCAATTCCAATCAGTTGGCAGTGAATGCCTGTACCATGGAGCAGTGTCAGGGATCTTCAAGAAAGAGGATCAGGCAGAGAATTCCTGAGATGGGCATTTCCATGTGCCAAGACCATTCCACCACCCCATCCACCACCTTGTCCCAAGGCCATGGCATCTAGGATTCTGATTTCTGACTTCTGTTGCATATAATAAGAGGCATTAAGTTTTAAGTACACATATTAAGCCAATTTATTTCATGCTAAAGGATACAGCTGAAAAGATAAGCACTAAACAGAAACCCAATAAAAGAGCTGGATAGAAAAATGCTTAAATTACTGGCAATGAAAAGTAGTAACAATTGCACCTATTGCTTTTCTAGTCCTCTGCCAGCCTATTAGGTCTTTTATAATCCTCCCTCCTTCATTTCATCCTAGTTACAGCATCTGGACTTGTTTAAATCTTTTAGGGGTATTTTGTTCTGGAAACAGCATAGGACTGGCTTTCCTGTTACCTTCTGTGGCTCCCATATGGCATCCCTTCCTTGTCCTATCTAGCCTCGAATTGATCGAAGATTCTGTTAATGTCCAGTAAGGTAGCTGAAGGCTGACTGTATAATCAGCATCAGCACAGCAGGTGAGAGTCTCTTTCCGTTAAACTCACCTTAACAATCAGAATGATGAATGTCGACTCAATTTCCTGGAAGAAACCAGGCGTACGAAGTTAACTGCGAAGAAGCTTGGCATTTTAAAACTTCCCACACAAATTCTTCTGTAAGAAATGCTTTTATGAACTAGACTATGCAATGGAAATAACAGACTATAGTAGTTAATTCCGTGACTTAAATCTAGTTTTTTAAATTGATTGAGCATCCCAAAACAATGATGATTTTTTTAACTGATGGAGGAAGGAAAGGCATTAGAACCCTATTGAAAGTGGGTTTTATGGAATTATAAATCATTTGCTCTCTTAGACATTCTGTCTAGCCAAATTGTCATATGCTTATTCTCTTTAGTCATATTACTGACTGGAGCAGAACCCTGTAGGTAGCTGTGCAAGCCAGAGAGTTATCTTCCATCCTTATTACTACTTCTCCCTTAATATTACCAGAGACTGATCCCTACTAGAATAAACAAACTTGGAAAATGTTTTTATGTAATTGTTAATAATATTCCACTCTGGCCGGCGCCATGGCTCACTAGGCTAACCCTCCGCCTGCGGCGCTGGCACCCCGGGGTTCTAGTCCCGGTTGGGGTGCCAGATTCTGTCCCGGTTGCTCCTCTTCCAGTCCAGCTCTCTGCTGTGGCCTGGGAAGGCAGTGGAGGATGGCCCAAGTGCTTGGGCCTTGCACCTGCATGGGAGACCAGGAGGAAGCACCTGGCTGCTGGCTTTGGATCAGCGCGGTGCACCGGCCGTAGTGGCCATTTGGGGGGTGAACCAATGGAAGGAAGACCTTTCTCTCTGTCTCTCTCTCTCACTAACTCTGCCTGTAAAAAAAAAAAAAAATCCGCTCTATATGCACATAAGAAAAAAGCTCCACTTGTCTATCTTTAAGAGAAAAAAATTAGAAAGTTCAAATAACAGCATAATTTAGTCAAAACAATTTTTACAAATGAAAATATTTAAATTTTTGTTTCACCTTACTAAAACAGTATAAATTTTAGTTCATTAAATTAAAAATTCTAAATAATTTTTAAAGCTAATAACCTAGTTAAAATAGGTTTTATGGCATAAAATGAAAAATTGTCTCTCTTGAGCTGATCAGCAATAAATCCTTATCAATAACAACCACCTGGGTTTTCAGTATCAGGCCAAGGGACAGACGGGACTTGGGTTTCTTGTATAGCATGTCACGGAGAAACACTGCTCCCTTTCCAGCTGCCTTTCCTGGGTGAGTGTGGATTGTTAGGACTGCACTTTAGAGGCGCCTGGTTACAGTTTCCATGAATAAGGTAAAATGGTGTTTATCCTCTGTCGATCAATACTGTCTTGTTTAAACTTATTGAGTCATTAAGAGACATGTAAGGTAATGAAAGCTATTGTGCAATAGTACCCAAAGTACTATCTAGCTTTCCAAGGGATGACAATATTTTAATAGCCAATTATTGAAACAGATTTTTAACATTAACTGACAGTGTGAAGAAATGAACGTACACTGTGTCAGTGTCCCATGGGTTTGAGTGAAATGCATGTTGAGCTTTTAGCTATGAGTTTTCTTGAGCCATAGTCTCTGAAAACAGTATATTCGTGCATGTGTAGTAATATTAAAAACAGTATTGTAGATTAGCACTTTCTTAATAGAGGAGGGGGTTACTATCTGAATAATCAGTTTCATTGCTTGTATACACTATACACATATATATATACATACATATACATATACACATATATATACATATATACATATATATTAGCATTGTTTTGACTGAAAGGAGCTCTCATGTGTAAGTTTGGACAGTTGTAGGAAATTTTCTGGAGATTGTTACAAACAGAGTAATGACAAAGAAGAGAGTTAGGCTGCATTCCTAAGCACCAGGCACCATACTTAACTGCTTTGTTTTATCATCTCATTTAATCCTCACAGAATTTTTCCACTAGATTTTGCCCCCATTTCATATTTCAGGAGTCTGAGATTCAGGGAAGTCAAATAGTATACAGAAGACCACAAACCTAGTGGGTTTTGGAAAATGCATTCCAAACTTCCTCTATCTGCAGAAATGTCCAGTGGCCTTTCTATGATTAATTTTCAAAGTCTCTTAGGCATAATTTGTTTGGTGCCATCTGACTGGGCTGTAAGATCCCTTTAGATGTGTTAGATAGTAATGATTTCCATTCTTTCATTCAATTTGGGTTATCATGAAGTCTGGACATAGACTATAAAAACTGTTCTTTCTTAATATGTCTTCTGAGGAGTCCACTTCTGAGAAATATTAATAAGATATTCCTGAAATAATATGTTCATTATAAATTAAATGTAGAGACAAAACATGGCATTTTTCTTTTGACCTATATTTGTTAACAACCACTGAACACTATATAAGAAATTATATGTGGAATGACATGAAGCTAATTTAGTATAAGCTCAGTTGGAAGTAATCACTAAAGATTTAATGATTTTTATATCTATCTGTCATTTAATAATGTTTTCCACAGCAAAGTTGACTTTCCTTGCTGACTCTATTCTCTCTTCCCTTACACCTGATACATAATGAATTGGAACAGCAAAATGTACAAATTGTCTAAAATGGGCAGTGTTGCTGTTACCTCAGCAAATGGGACCTTTAGGAATGAACCCCAAGTTATCTATCGATTTCTCTGTCCTTAGGAAAAAGCCTCACTGTTTTGACAGATCAGTGATTTTGCTTTGACAAGTATGTGATTTCACTTTTATTTCAAGATCTATCCTCCCATCACATGCTTCCCAGCGTGTATTATAAAGAATGGTTCAGCCAAGACCAAAGCATATTTGATAATCCTAAAATATATTGAGAGGAGAGTTGACGAGTATATGCTTTAGGAGATAATAGTCCTGTACAATACCCAGATACAGCTTGCTGCTGATCTTCGAGACGCACAATACAGATCCAAACCATACATAGAGAAATTTGTTTAAGCTGGAATTAATTTTCCTTGGAACCTACATTGGTAAGTCTTTCAATCAGAATTTAGAAGTTTTCTAATAGGAATGTAATATTCTTATTAAATACCGTGTTTGATTTATTTCATTAGATTAGATATCCTCATATTTAGGTTGTGAATCATCTTTATGGAATGAATAAAATGATAATGTGAAATACATCCACTGTAGCACAGTTGCCCAAACTGTGGAAACGATCTAGTAATTAGCTGTCCCATGGCTGAACTTTAACACACTGAAAACCAGTCATTTTCCAGAACTGTTTTTTTTTTCTTTTTTCTTTTTTCTTTCTTTCTTTTTTTTTTTTTTTTGCTAGAATCAGAGGCTAGTATCTTAGGTATTCTTTTGGTTAATAGGAGGAAATAGCAGGAATTAACCAACATTTTTTTATGGCAGTAATGACACTACAGGAGATGTCTCACTATATGAAGTCTAAAGTATGATAGGAATTAGACACATACAGGAAACTGAAAAACCTATTGATGATGTTAAGTCCCTTTCTCTTGTTAATGACATTTTATTTGCCAGGGTCCTAGGAGCAGAGTAGGCAGTTAGCCACAAGTCTCGCTGCTATGTGGCTACAGCATAGACTTCTCAGAATATCAGCTACACTCTTGAACCAAAGGTAAATCTGTTGTTTTTTATCCTCAGAAATTAATGAAGTCCAGAAACAGAACATGGCGGCCATGTCATTTTGCGCTTATATGGTCATTCTTAAGTATTTTTTTTGTTTCAGTTTGTTTAATTCATATAAAAGCAAACTATCCCACTCCCTGGGTTAGGCTCAGTAATAGAAGAGTGCCAAAGATGTTTTTGCTGCATTCCCACCAATAGTACAATGCCCAGTTTCACAAACTTGAAACAGAAAAAGCAAAACACATGGACCATACCTGAGTAATTTCAGAGATCCCCACCCGGAAAAGGTTTCCTTGATTGTGGCGAATTCAGCGTGTCCCTCCGGTTATGTTCTAATCATCATACCAAACTCCAAAGGTTCAGTGGCTTTAGGTTTGGTTTACAATTCCCCGGAGTTAAACTTTAACTCACCCTGTCTCTTGCATCCATGCAGCCCTTTGACCAGATAATTGGGTCACTACAGTCCAAACAGCACACAAAACTACCCTTGTTTTGTGTTTACAAAATTAAAATTGGCATAAATGTTATTTTGAAGCTATGTTATTGACATATAATCATATATCTAAAAAGTAGAACTCACTACAATTTGGGCCACGAAGATTGTGTGTGTGTGTGTGTGTGTGTGTTAGCTCCCTTGTTTTCTGCTATGCCAAAGTGATAGCAAGTCTAAGGTAATTTAGGAGAACATTTCTTTGTTTTACACTTTTTTCTATCACTGTGTTACATGGAGTTTGAGGTCAAGTGTTTAGATAAGTACTGACTTGTGAACAGAAAATACAGAGTAATTATATAACAAGTAGGTAGATATAGGCCAGATCAAGTGAGGGGGGAGCATACTTCTCATGCAGGCTGCTCGTTCCGATGTTAAGGGAGCCGGGGCTGTGACAGCCTAACACTCGGCGACACACGTGCTGTGTGAGAGCTGCTGCTGTTGCCCGTGCCTGAAACCTCAGCGAGGACTGTGCTGCCTACAGAGAAGAGAAGCTGCATCTTCAAAAACACGAGCTCTGCTTCCTAAATCCTCTGTCTAGAGAAGGCTGCCGTCTGTAGAGTAAGCCTCAAGGATGATAGATGCCACTTGAAAAATGAAGAACAAACACACCCTTGTGATTGGCAGTAAGTTTTGGCTTGTGGGCTGTGAACCCTAGTCTCCAAACCTGGTATTAGTGGATACTGTCCCTTGGCTTCTGTTCTAGTAAGACAAGTCTAATTTTTGAAGAACCAACTATTATGAGGGTGTTTTGATTTATAAAAAAATACAGAATAAGCAATCCTTCTATAATATGAACTACAAAGGAGGATACATCGGTTAAGCATATCTATGAATACATAGAAGATGAAAGATACTATTGAAATGCTGGTCCTGCCTACAATTTCCAGTCCTCAGATGCCACGCATTTCTGGTTTACCCACAGTCTACCTAAAGTAATGTATGACAGGATTTTTAAAAACACTCAGGAACAGTTGTTTTGTCCTGGAATTGTGCCCCTATAGCGAGACTTAGAGGAAACTTAATGCCCATCTAGGGTAGTGGTATATTCCTTCATTTCTCCTGTCGGAGTGGGCCCTCTTACTAAGCACTCTTATTAGGTTTCTTGGTGAAAACTCAATCTGTGTGTGTTTGGTTCCCCAGTGGGTGGGGAATACTTGTGATTTGCCTGGGCCAACACAGAATTGTTCATGTTGTAGGACTGACAGTCCTAGAAGGGGTTTCTTTTATTGTTTTCTGTGGTAGGTGCCTAAATGGTGACAAATGAAGATGAGGAATGGAAAGATAGACTTTTGAGATATCTGGTAGAAACAGAAAAATGTAACATGTAAAACAATGAATTATATTGATATCCTTAACTTATAATCATGTTGCCTCCCAGTAAACCCATCAAACATTGAGACTATAAGTCAAAGATCCATGTATGATACTTGATATAGACTGTAAGGGTTTTTTTTCTCCCAGATTCAAGCAGATTAAACATAAAAATCTTATGTTAATGGATAATAGATTAAAGATGAATACTTGATCTAATTATGGTATCTAGGAGGCAGACTCAGTAGGAGGTCTTTAGGTCACTGGGGACTTGCCCTTGGAAGGCAGTGCTCTCAAGAGGGCTAGCTATTTAAGCCAAGTTTGGCCTAGCTTCTCTACTTCCTGCCTTGCCATATGATATCCTTCCATCATCCTCTGCTCTCACCAAATGCCTGAACCACTGGGGCCACCTGACCTTGGACTGTCAGTCTCCAAAAGCGTGAACCAAAATCATTCTTCTTGCTTTGTAAGGGAAGTTGTTCTCGGTATTTTAGTTAAAGCAGTGAAAAGCTGACTAAGACGACATCTAACCCATCCAGTATTGTGACCAAGTGACACAGTACACTTTAGAATAGTGAGTGTTCCCTGTGTTGTAACTGTGGGGCTGGCTGGGAGCAATGCCTCGCGTCTGTTGCCTACTACCCAAGGAAAAGATCAAAATTCTAAATGTAAGTGTAGTTTTTACTGAATGCATATCAGTTTCACGCTGTGATAAAGCCAAAGCGTCTTGAGTAGAACCATCATAAATTAGCGACTGTCTCTGTTAACTAGTGTCTCAGTTCTGGTTGCTTTCAAAGAATAGCACTCACTGGGTAGCTTCAACAACAAATATTTATTTTTCACAGCTCTGGAGACTACATGTCCAAAATCGTGTTGTCAATAGGGTCCTCTTCTGGTTATGTTCTTGTGTGACCATCCTTTGTCCTGGAAGAGAGAAAGCAACTGATCAGAATGAGATCAAATTCCTGACCTTGATCTCATTAGTCTAATCACACTGTACCCAGAATGACAAAGCTTACTTTCCTTTGTAAATATAAATCCAGTCTGAACAGTAGCTAGAAAGCATTAATTTTCCATTGATTTATTTCATAAACAAATGAGGATCTACTCTGCTAACTTGTATTAAATGTGGTGATAATTTAAAATGAAAGTTGTATCTGTTAGTAGGCTGTAAAATCAATAAAGTGGATATATCCAAAATATTAATAACAATTGAAAATATCAAGTGAATTTCACCTAGAGAGGATAAGTAATGTTCATAAAACTTTTTTTCCGTTACATATGTCTATGTATGCTGGTTATGAGGTTAAATTTACTTCTGGTATGGACCATAATTTTAAAGTTTCCAAAATACTGCACTAGTCCTTAGGGATTCAGTGGTTAACAGACCAGAGAGTGCAGACACTAAGCAAATTCCCTAGTGATCAACTAGTTATAACTGTACAGCATGTATTGCTTAATGATTGGACAAAGCTCTAGAAATGCATTGTTAGGGGATTTTATCATTGGGCACACGTCATGGAAAGTACTTCTACAAGCTAACGTGGTTATGCCATCACTAGGCAAAGTAATCTTTTAGGACAACATATATGGGGGTCTGTCATTGAACTAAGTGTCTGATGTGGCACATGCTTATAATAGCTATTAGGAAGAAGTAGAGGATGCTAAACAGAGAATAAAACATAAAGGACCTAATCTAGTGTAGGGCTAGATGGAACCAGAAGTTAGTTGAGGAAAGCCTTCTAGAACATATTATATTTAACCTGAGACCAGAAGAATGTGCAGATGGAGGGGTGGGCATTGCTATTAATGGAAATAATGCATGTAAATGCCTTGAGTTATAATGAGTTTGACACATGCAAATAATTGATAGAAGGCAGTTATGAGGGGCAAGAGGGAAAACACGAGGAAAGTGACTGGAGTAGGCAACTAAGTCAAAGTCATCTCATAAATGACCATGCACAGGGTTCTACAGATTTCCAGTGTTATTTCTGGGCACTGGGATTTCACTGAAGGATTTAAAGAAGGGAAACCACATCCAGGTATATTCTGGGTATCAAATAGAGAATAAATTGCAATGAAAAACACTGCCTGCCCTGCTCCATTTTCTAACCTTAGATTTACTTCATTTGTGTAGGTATTCAAATTATAGTTTGTGATTTGGATTTCAGAGAAGCAGATCATTAAGAGACCAGGTAGACCCAGGAGGAGGCAGGCAATGATGGGTGAGATTTGGCTTGTAGACTGTGCTTGGTGAAACGCGTGGCAGGGGTGGGTAAATAATCAAGAGGGAGCTGAGGGAGAGTGACACCTAAGGGATGACCTAAGGACTGCCTTCCTTTGGCTGCCAGGAGTATAATTTGTAGAGGTGGGAATACTCAAAAAGGAAGAGAGTTTCAAGGTAGGGTATACCAATGTGTAGTAAATGATCATTAAGTGGTACCAGTTACCAATCATTCCCATGTGAATTACCTGTGTATTCTAACTAATCCTGCTTTTACTATGCATCTATATTAATTTTTGCAGGCTAAGGTAAAATACAAAGCTTTAAAAAATCAACAATGCAATTCAAAGTCAAAGATTACCAAGTGTAAGAGGCTTCCTTCCCTGCCACAACTCTCGTCTTCCCTCAATAAAATACCACTGGTTTTAGTTTCCTAGGAATACAACATCTGGCTTTGAACTATTTGGTAGGTGGGAGTATTCACTGAACTGGAAGAGAACATTATAAAGAGCGATAGGGCCACGTTGGACACACTACATAGGGCAAAAGCCAAATTGTCTTTGTTTGCCTCTTGTATAGAAAGAACTTTGATCTAGGAGTCAGGACCTCGGGATTCCAGTCCCAACACTATCACTTAAGAATTATGTAACCTGGGCAAGTTCTTACCCCTTGTCTGATTTTCAGTGCCCTTGCCTTTAATGAGGAGAATAGCAACATTTATTATTTACCCTACTGATTTAAAAATACATATTTAAAAAAGGAGAGAAAGAGAGGAGAGGTGAGTGCTTCTATCCACTGTCTCACTCCCCAGATGTCTGCAACAGCTGGGACGGGAGCTAGGAGTTGGAAACGCAATCCAGGTCTCCACCTGGGTGACAGGTACCTGGGTTTGTATTGGTGAGAGGCCGGAGTCAGGAGCTAGAGCTGGAAACTGAACACAGGGACTCCGATATGGGATACAGGTGTCTTAGCTGGTAGGCTAAATGGGTGAGATTCTCACTGAATACTGAGAAGGTCAAAGAAATTTCTGTCACCTAGAGGTGTCACAGCCATTGTAATATATTGTAATCTTTTATGATGATTCTGGTTCGAGCAAGCCTGCTGCACAGCCAGTCATATAAAAGTGTGACAATGAGCTTAAAAAATAGGAGTACTATGTATGTATAGAAGGGATAATTGAGAAGAATATTAAAATGTACACTCTTCAAAACTATGTCAGTGCAATCTTCGGTTTTGATTTGTGAAATCAGTGCTCTAAGGTTTTTTCCGCTCTTTTGGAGATGCATAGCATTTCAAGCCTAATCCCTTTGTGCCTGCAAAGCTTTTGGAAGGTGGTAAAATGGGATTCAGTGGGTTAGAATCCATCTGT